AAGTCCTCATAGGAAAAGAAGGCCTAGCCATGAGCAATTACCTTCCTTTGATTAAAACCTTCTAGTTAGCTAGTCTAAAATAGAGTGGAAATTTTTTTGTGAGCCTTAGTCCACTGAAGGGCGGAAAAGAGGCTGTCCACTGAAAACGCAGAATAAAAAGCAGCCTTTTTAAATGTGAAAGTTTATGGAAAATTCTGTGACCATCTTCATGTAAAAATAGCTATTCTGCTTTCCCTAAGACTTTAGATCATTCCCTTCTTTTCTCTGCTTCTTTATTCTTTTTTTTTTTTTTCCAGTGGACATAAAGTAGTTAGTAGCAAAGGACTGTATTTGGTTTTCCCATTAGTTTCAGAAAGAAAAGCCTCTGGAAAACAGAAGATACAAAAATGAAACTTGCCCTGGACTTCAGCTAGAAATTCAAACAGACCAACTCAGAGCAAATGAAGATCATCAAGAAGTACAAGGGTCTATGTAGTTATTTCAGAAGGTGAAGCCTACGGTTTTAAGTTTCACCCATACGCATGCACATACACTTAAACAAAAAGCATCCGTGTAAAACATCCAACAAACAACCGACCTTTAAATCACTCCAAGTTGCTGCTTCTCTGTGAAGAAATGGATTCCTCCCTCTGCTTTTTGGAACCGGTCCCCAGCTCATGATGGGGTATGTAAAAGTTGTTTTTCGAAGTTCCTGCATTGTATATTCTGGTCTAAAACTCCCATCACTCATCTCTTTTTATGCCATAACCTACATTTTGGGTAGCTGGAGCCATTTTCAAGACCTTGGAGGATCACTATTGGCAAGATTATTCTCTACATCTTGATTCTAAAAGTTTTCAACACCCAGTTGCTCATCCAGATGTATTTAGGAGCTTTGAAATTCAACTGCTATGCTACTGAGCAGGTTTTGAAACCCTTTTTGGATCACAGTAGCTACAGCTTTTGCTAAGCCTCTCCTTCATCTGTGTTACAGCTGAATGAAGATATTGAGTATTTTCTCTTTTGCGTCATCCATGAGTCTGCAAATTGGAAGTGCTATAGGGGAAACACACTCTATAAGCAGGATCCACAGGGCTGATCTCATACAAAGATCTGGTTAGCTGTTGGGGTCGATGTAGCCTGAGAATTAGCACGACTAGGCCGTTTAAGTAAAACAGCATAACTGAACAGGCCGCTGGGAAGGACAGCTAAGAATAGCCATTGAGAAAGTTCTGAGAGTGTACATGATGTGGGTTAGGAAAAACAAGATGTGTTCAAGGACGTGGAGGCGGTCTGTTGCTATTAGCATTAGTGCATAGTTACCAATCATAAGGGAATATGGGGTGCGTGAACAGCGTGTGATTTATGTCTGTAGCCTATCCGAATAAGCGTGATCGCGTGTGCAGATATGAAAAATGTATATAACCATGCAAGCAGAGCAAAAAATCAAATCAACTGTGCATTGCATCAATGTGTGAGAGTCATTCCTGTCCCTGCATGGATGCTGAAACTCGGCAGTTAGCATTCTAGGCTGCAGATAGATGCCGTTGGGAACCATCCAGCTGGAAGCCCACCGGTGTTACACTGAGCTCTCCCTATGCCTGGAGACACGTGGCCCAGATTCCCTCCACTTCTATATCTTACTGCTTTTCTTGTTATGGAAGATCCCAGAGACCAACCTTGCCACGGTTTCTTTGAGAGACAAACACTTCCTCCTTCATTGTTAAACAGTGATTTTGAAACCCACATACACACACACGACACCTAGCCAGACTTCCTTCTTTCTACTTTCAGCAACACTGACTAGAAGATCTGGCTTCTTCAGTCCTCTTTTTTACCCCTTTAATACTTCACACCTCTCACTAAAGCCTTGTTTTCATTCCTCTTACACTGATATATGCCAGTTACCAAAGAGGATGCAAAAATGTCAATCGGTGTCTCAGACTGACAATTGCACTTAATTACCTCTGGCCAACACCCCCCCCCCAGATGTTTAGAATAACAATTCAGGAATTCAACAAAGTTGTCCCCAGGTGCCTTAGAGATAACAAGAAGTGCTGTGACATGGATAGTTCAGAATAAGGATAGTTCAAATAAGCAGCCAAACCAAGCATGAGTCCTGAATCAGTTGAAGTTTGCCTCGCTTGATAGTGTTGTGAACTATACTTCTCCACATTTCTGCAGTGCCTCCTACTTTAGGCTGCATGACAACTTAAGAGACTTTAATTGACTCTCAACATGCCTTTCATAAGTATTATTTCCAATCCACTGGCTAAGAAAAGCACAGCATAAAACATGTAGCCATTGTCCAAGTGCACAGCAATAAAGAGAAATCACCAAAACAGCTCTCCCATTTTATGAAAAGTACAGCTTCTGCACCTGCCAAAAGTTCTTGTCAGGTTGGGTTTTTTTTAACTCATAAGTGAGTCAACAGCATTAAAAAAGAGGTGGGAATTTTTTTTAGTGCACTATCAATACGGGCTGTCTCTTAAAAGGGAAGTCAAAGAGAAGAGCAAGTTGAAAAGTCTTCCAACTGCATGTCAGTATTTCTCAGAAATGCTACGATAACTCCACCACTTTTCAGAGATGGCACTTCAAAGGTAGTTACAAATACGCCCTCAGAAAGTACAGGAAATTTAGTGCCTATAAAAAAGGGAGGGGTGGGGGGACCACACAACCAGCAAGCAACCAAATAAAACTGGGTTCTAAGTCATTGCATAAAAAGTGCTCTCCATGGAAGTAATTATTTACAACCACATTCCAGACCTGCTGAAATAAGATGACCGATCCTGAAATAGTCTTTGCGGGTATCAAATTACTAAAAATACACAGGATGTTTCAGTGAGTGTTTTGTTCATCAAGAAAACTGATAAGCCTAAGGGCTTCATGAAAGAGAAATATCTTTAGCTCTTCCCCTGGGAGAAGGGGTAGCTTTTCCTACACATGTTGTTCCTAGAAAGCCATGTGTTTCTTTCAGAGGTAGTGCTGGTCCACATTGTGAGCCAGTGTTTCAAGACTGGGAGCTGATCAAGCCTCTCCACATGCAAAGCAATGGCAACTTCCCCTCTCTTTCAATCAAGGCTGGGAAAAGGAAGATGTGTATCCTCTGGAAAAAACATGGTGAGTTTGCAGAGTCCACACAAGACAGGTCTATGCCAGGCAACATAAAGAAACATTTCCAGTAGTCCAGCTAGTACAATAACAGCAGCAGTGATGCTGCAGGAGCCCTGACTCAGAGAATACTCTGTTAGCGTAGTCAATGCATTGATGTCCTTTGAACAATTAATCTTGCTGCTGTCAGTGGAACTGCACCAGAATTTGAATTTAAGAGTTGAAAAAATACTTAACAAGGTAGGCAGTTTTAATTATTCCTTATTTGTCCTATTTCATATCTTATTTGCCTAATGTTGTTCTATCTTTAGGTGCAAACAATGACAAAACAATTAAACCAATTTCCTTCTTGTCTAGGTCTAGTGCAGCTTACTCTAGTTTTTCAGTTGTTTCCCTTTAGCATTTATGATTACCTCACTCTTGTATTGCTCCTCTTGTTCCTCTCTTGGTTGGTTTGATTTGTTAGTACATTTACTTAGAACCAAAGACATATAGACACATATGGTATCGAACAGGGAAACCCACAAACACATGACTCCAACCTTGTTCCAGATAACACGCAACACTTTCTGATGGTCTTCACAACTCTATCAGCAGAAAACACGCACAAAACATGACCATAATGTTTTATGAATTGCTTTACAACTCTTAAAAATCAGTGTTGATTTTTCGTCCTGAGAGAAAGACTGGACCTCATCACTGAGAGACTGAAGAAACTTCAGTGCTGATGGAAGATTTACATGTGGACAAGGAAGCTACTCTAACTAACATGTCCAAAAGGTGGTTAGATTGCATTTGACACCTCTTGCAAAGACAGTTCCAAAAATGATTTACAGATAGATGTCGCTGAATGCTTTGAAACTACAATTTACTGTTAATCTGTGCTCTACTACTCCATTCCCCTGAAGAGGAGTTTTACAAGGCTGTTGTAACACCTTATCAAAAGCTTCATTTAATCCGAAAAACTGACTAGATGCTACTTCATTGAACTATCTCAGCAGAAGGGTCCTGAATGTTGGCGTGTTTTTCCTCTAACAGCAACAATCTAGCACACCAAGATAAATACAAAAATGCCAGCATTTCAGAAGGATTCATCAAAAGATAAAAATTTCTGTGCACGTGCACAAATTTACATGCGATAACACAAGACGAGCTTTGCCACTATATAGTGGTTCAAGAAGATTCTTCTTCAATACTTGCTCACAGAGAAAGAGCACAGCTCTGAAGCGAGGAAGAATTCTTCCAACTTCAATTGAGAAGTTCCAGTGCAAAGGTCCTGCCTGCATGATAGTATCAATAAACTAATCACATAAATCTAACCACAGCTAAACAAATGTTATTTGACCAATTACCAGCTGACAATCTGTACATGCCTCTGTTCCTGGAAATGAAACATAAGAATATTATTTAGCCAAAAATGGACTCACTGTTCCAAACAGCACATATGCCTGTGGAGTCCCTTCCAAGCTGCAGTCATGCAGGGGCTCCCTGAAGCAGCATTTGTCTGGTCACACACATCTAGATGACAGCACTGTTGTTGTTAGGACAACAACTTCTGGTACTGACAAGTGACTCCTGAAATGTCATTCCTTGCTGAAGCATCTCAGTGTTGAACGATAGGGACTGAAAAACAATGGGATATTCTGAGTAGAATAATCAGCTATTTTTTTTAATTGATAATTCATATATACAGCCTGTGGAACTCTGTGCAAATGGATGCAAACAAAGATCTTCATATAATACAGTGCCTTTGGACCGATCTCACAGTTACTCATATGTACACCAGCATGAATTACTCCGTGCAATCCCCCCCCTCCCATGTCTTCTCCTGACACTGGATTAAAAAATAAGACAGTCCAGCCTGAGACTTTTTTTTTTTTTTGCAGAGGCACCAAAGTAGGCTTGCTCAGTCACTCTGTCTTGAGACGGAGAGCCTCTCGCCGTTGCTTCTGAACAGCCCTGGAATCTTCCCACAGACGAGGTCCTCTGATGTTTTCCCAGTTATCCAAGTCAGACATCTCCAGCTTCTGCAGATAAACAGCAAAAATAAGTGTCACCTTGACAGCCTCATGATTTAAAGTACGTATTATTCTAAGCTGTTTTCTTTCTGCCCAAGAAACTCAGTTTCACTATTGGCCTGATTAACTTTCATCCACTCTGCAAGAGAAGTTCAACAACAACGGAAAAAAATTCAAGAGTCATCCATATAGCTACATCAATGACTAGGGTGGGCATTGCCACATCTGCTTATCAAAAAACAAATAAAATGTAGGACAAGAAGCGCTATAGCATCTGAACATGACTGAAGATATTTTGTATTCACTTTTTGTTTCTTCTCTCACCTTGTTTTCCAGATCTGTTCTTCAACTGCACGTCTGCCAAGTACTGAAGTAGGACGAGTGATAAGCATTTGTATAGCTCAAACAGAAGATTAGTGATTAGTGACCTGAAGTATCCTGTCAGCACAGATACAAAGCACACTGGAAAAGATGAATTATCTAGCACAAAGAGAGAAACAGTGCAATCCCCTTCAACACGTATGGTTTTAACTTGAGAGAGGTATGCGATGCCTTCTGCTGCCTAGTTTCTCATGGCACCCAACCATCACAGATAGGTCTCTCACCAAGTCATACACAAGATGTGCTAACTGGCCAAACCGTCAGATACTTAAAAACTATCTAGATTTTAATCACCTCCTTGCCTATTCCTATCATCCCCACTTAGAAGTACGAACGACTGCAGAATTTATCTAGCCTTAGAGGCGCACAAAAATGAAGAGCAGGCACCCTCTCGACCTCACCTACCAAGTGCGGAAGAAGACAAACACACACTGCATCTTCACAGTCCTACTGGCAGAGGCACAGAAGTCCCTTCCCAGCAGACACAGACCTCAAGTCTCACATCCCAGCCCGCAGTCTGGAACTGGGCATCAGACACAACAGGGCTCTGCTGACAGGAGACTGAGGAGCGGGGCTGCACCACTGCCAGAAACAGGGCTATTCCACATGCTACTGGAGAGTGCCATACTGCACACCATTAATGATACGTACTGCAGTGGGATTTAAACCTCTGATTTGTGATCAGGGCCTCATCTCAGCAAATGCTGTAACACTACACCAGAAACACTTAACCCTGCCCTGAGCCTGTGGTCTAATTTGCCTGCCATCAATCATCCAAATAAATGGCAAATACCGCGGGACTTGAATAATACTTGCAGAATAAATCAACAGATAGAACAGACCTGCTGCTATTAGTTCATGTTATGTAAAAGTTTTCTGCCACTTCTACAATTGAGAAAATTGCAATGAGGTTAGTCAGATATCAAAAGACATTAGGCAACACTCAACAGAAAATATATGAGAACGCATGCACAAACACAGCAGACTTTCACAAGGCAGGAGCAACTGAATTTTTTATATAGTGGAGTTGGCATAGGTCCTCCTGAAGAATTGTCTTCTCTACTTTACATGTCTTTTGATTAGCTGGTACTTCATTTCAACTGGAAGCAATCTGAGCTGACATGGAAGGAGGGAGAAGGAAGGAAGGTACCCATCATCCCACGCAGAAGCGACTATCCACTCTGTTTGCAAATTCAGACTTTAACATCTGATTCTAATGGAACTTTCAAGGAAACTACACTCTAAATAATTGTGCGCTTTAACAGAAGGTAAGCACACTGATTTTATTAAACACAAAGGTACCACACAGCTCTGAGGATCTGAACTATTCCCAAGGGTGCTCAGCCCAGAAAGTCTGAACAAGAATCAGTATTTAAAATATATACAACAGAACTTGTAGTATCTACAGATAGGCTACACGAAGAAGTCTATCAACAGAGACTTGCATACTGGAGATCTGATGCCTTGCTGCAATTCAAGAAGAAATTACCTTCCTTACGTGACAGTATCACTAGTTTAGGGGACAGGTATCTGCCTCAGAAGGCAGCATGATTAGGCAATCCAATTTTCTAAACTGATTCTATCAAGTTTTAGAAGAATAGAGGACTCCTGTTGCATTGGGATATGCATAAGAATCACTGGTGAAAGGGGACCCAAAAATTTGTTCTGCAATGCTTCCCTACCGAATAGCTATTTTTACATCTATCTACCTGTGCTGGTTCTGACTGGGATAGAGTTAATTTTCTTCATAGTAGCTGGCATGGGGCTAAGTTTTGGATTTGTGCTGAAATCAGCGTTGATAACACTGGGATGTTTTCGTTACTGCTGAGCAGTGCCTGGACAGAGTCAAGGCCTTCTCTGCTCCTCACCCACCTCAGCAGCGAGGAGGCCGGGGGGCACACGCAGCGGGGAGGGGACACAGCCGGGACAGCTGACCCCAGCTGACCCAAGGGATATCCCGTACCGCGTGACGTCATGCTCAGCACATAAAGCGGGGGAAGAAGGGGGAAGGGGGGGACATTCAGAGTGATGGCGCTTGTCTTCCCAAGTGACCGTTACGTGTGATGGAGCCCTGCTCTCCTGGGGGTGGCCGCACACCTGCCTGCCCGCAGGAAGTGGTGAATGGATTCCTTGTTTTGCTTTGCTTGCATGTGCGGCTTTTGCTTTACCTATTAAACTGTCTTTATCTCAACCCACCAGTCTTCTCACTTTTACCCTTCTGATTCTTTTTCGCACCACATCATGGGGGGAGTGAGTGAGCAGCTGTGTGGTGCTTCGCTGCTAGCTGGGGTTAAACCACAACATACTTCACATACGACTAAATAAAAACTAAACTTTTTGCTTGGTCACTGCCATGAAAATTCTTACAACAGTATCACCCCAGAATAAATGGCTACATTAGATGTAGGCCAAAGACACGTACAGAGATACATTTTAAATCAATCTTAGTGCTCAGAATAAGACCAAAATGACAGTCCTTCCATTGCTCAGGCGCAGAACAACCTGCACAGCCACACAGCTCCTTCAGCTTGCCTGAGCTGTACAGTGAGAATTCAGGCAGGCAACTAGTTCTGCTCCCAGACGAAGTGAACCTCTCTCATTCAAACTGGATGGGCCTTTTTATTTTTTTATTTTGTTTCCTTTTTTTTTTTTTAGCCACCTGCACTCTGCCCACCCAACTTCACAGAGGCATCACATAAAGATGGTAAACTACTTCCAGCTTTTACTAAATTGAAATCCATATGTACTGGCAGTCTAAAAACCAAAAAGCTTTTTCTCCCAATTCAAATGTACTAAATAATCATTGGAGACTACAACGAAATGTAATCAGATCAGACCAGCACCACTCTTCCTATATGTCTCAAATAGCCCAAAGGGTATTGAAAATTAGCTGTTTAAAGTAAGATCAGTGTAGTCCATTAAATCTACTGATTCACTTTCTAAATCAGCTAAACTGCCTCTTAAAAGTATGGGACTGACAGAAGCTGTAAATTCAGGAAAAAAACGCAGCGATGCTGACAGGCACAGTGAACAAAAAAATGTTAAACTGTTTGCCACACATTTGACTTTTAAGACTTTTTTTAAACAGCTTGCCTGGTACAAAGGTACCAATAAGGATATAAAGAGACCTTCACTTCTTAACTGCTGGTTCAAGTGCCTGGCTTGATATTAAGTAAAAGCCATAATCCTCTGTCAGTCTTAAAGTAAAATTTTAAAAACAGCTTGAATTCTACTCTTACAGGATAGTCTTCATACAACAATAAACAAACTGAAATTTGCAGAAATTCATTTAACACTATTGGTGCTCAGGCTCAGTTAATTCAGGGTGGTGACTTGCATAAAATGTTTGGCTTTGGTCTGTTTCCCAGATGTGAAAGGAGGGACAAGAAAATCCTGTTTACTTCACAGTTTCATGCAATAGATTCCGTGATAAGTGCCACAGAAAAAAAAATACTCTACTTCAGAGAGGCAATTATTTCGTATCATTATAGTAAGCAAACCCATTTGCAGATAGAGGATGAGCCAGGGAAGAATATCCTCATGGCTGAAAGATGCAGCGAAGGAAATGCATTAATCCAGTCTGGTTTTGGAAGGGTGTCAAAACAGCTTGAAGACCATAAAAGATATATTGAGGAACTCTGTGATGACACATAGATGCAGAGGTACAGAATTAAGGCTAACACTGAATCTGCTGTCTTGTGTGTGACTGAAAATTTTAATTTTACCATCACACTGATACAGCCTTACTGGGTTTTTTTACAATTC